ATTTAAGAAATATGGGAGTGGAACTGAAGGGGGAGAGAGGTGGCGATAAAGCTGGAGGGGAGGTCTAGTGATCATTGCAGAGTGCTTGGACTCTTTTTTAAGATTAGTGGACTAGTTTCTCCAAAACTCAGTTTGTATCATTCACATATTTCATTGTTTTAATTTTTTTTAGAGGTTTTATTTTTTTAATGTTTATTTATTTTCAGAGAGACAGAGAGAAATCACGTGCAAGCTGGGGAGGGGTATAGAGGGGGGTGGAGAAAATTCCAAGCAGGCTCTTCATTGCCAACACAAAGGGCGACATGGGGCTCAAACTCTCCAACTGTGAGACCAAGACCTGAGGCAAAATCAAGAGTCAGAGGCTTAACCAACTGAGCCACCCAGGTGTTCCTCATTCACATATTCAATAAGTAGAAAATTGGCAATGGTGCCTTACTGTTGATTTATTTTGTATTTTTTTATTGCTATCTGAAGTCAATATTTTATGTATTTATGTGAAATTATTATCTCATGTCTTATTTATTTTTAAATTTATTTTTAATTTATTGGTTCTTATTGGTTATTATTACTGTTGAAAAAACTTATTATTGTATTATTTTTTAAGTCTTTCATATTTGGGGGTAAGTGATCTTCTCCAATCTTTTGTTTTTCTTTCATTTTAGTTCCTACCATCTTAAAATGTATGGCTCTTCCCATCTGTTGGTGTAATAATGTGGTGGCTTATAATGATAAGCATTCATTTCTCACTCATGTGTCTTTGAGTTAGTTGATATTCACCTGATCTAGACTGGGCACTGTTTACAGAGCTGGTGTTTGTTTTTGTTTTTGCAATATGGTCCTTTAAATACATCCTTGTTTGGTTTCTTGGACTAGGTTATAACAATGCCACAGTTGACTGGGCAAGTTTTTGTGACTCTAATGACCACAGAACTCAAGGTCAGACATTTGTAAGTTAAAGAGGAAGAGGTGTCTTTTTGTTTGGGTTCACCCAACAGAAGACCCAGAGATAAGGATCTGGGTGCCAATAATTAGTTTGGGAGAAACATAGTGATAGAGTGGGAAAGGGAGATAAGAAAAAAAAAAAAAACAGCCAATAAAGTGTTCATTGATGAGCAGGTTACCTCTGTGGGCAGCTGGAGCTTTAACCTGTTGAGGACATTGGGGGGAACTGTACAAGACATACCTTTAAATTATCCCCCAAGATGGCAAAGAGGTTGAAGTGCTTACCTGCCAACTCCCATCATTTACTGGGGAGGGTTGCTCCTGGGATATCAACTTCTGCTTTATGTGGACAGGTAGCTACTAAGAATAGAAAAAACCCTTAGGAAGAGAGATGCTAGTGCTCTGGTAGGAAGTTGTCAGCAGGAAAATGTCCACCAAGCTGCAGGTAACCTCCAGGGTGGGCAGAGAGGACATAGGCAGAGCATCTGCCACAAGAAGGTACTACAATGCAGAGACTAAAATAAACCCAAGAATGTCATGACTCTTTTTATTAAATACACTGTGAGCTCAGCTGGTCTTCAGTAAACACTTGTTATATTTAATTAGACCTTTGGGTTCATTTAGCAGAACGTGAACACCTTGCAGATAGGGACAGAATGGTTGCCTTCCTTTCCCAACATCTAGTTCAGAGCCTGACATACCATTACTCAATAAATGATGATGTAGGGAGGTAGTTTAGGAGAGTAGAGAGAGTTTGACTTTTGGGGCTGAACAGACTGCATAGACTCTTGTGGTTTGGTGACTTATGCCATTGTATTCCAATGGTCAAGTTACTTGCTTCTCTTATTCCATTTCCTCATCTTCAACACTGAAATAGTGATGCTGAACTCAAATATTATTGTAAGAAGAAAATGAATTAACAGATGTTTAGTGGCTGCTCTGGAATTTCTATATTGGGACAACTTAGAGGAGACAGCAATCTAGACAGAAGAGGAAACAGGGATAGGTATTTTGCAGAAGACTGAGAATATCATCAATCGGGGAAGAAATCCCTCCAAACACCCACTTGATGTTGCTACAATATTTGTTAGATTCTTAGACTAGGGTTTAGCAGGTTACAGGCTTTTAACCAAATGTAGATGTTATTATCAGGCTATTCTGCAAGAGATTGTCCTGGTTTGGAAATGTTGAGTGTTTATATCTTGTGATACATAATTGTTATTGCAGTATAGTGATGTGACTCCTGAAACAGAAGTTTATAGTCCAAGACAGAAGGTACCCTTGAAATTATTCCTTTCTCCTTTCCTTTTTCTTTCTTGTGAGTATCTGAGTCCTGTGGGTGACTATCAATCCAGGAATCAAAATTCAGAATAGGGTGAGGAACCCAACCCAAAGCCTGGATGAGTGATGAGAAGGTCAGTGTCCCTACCCTCAACATTAAGAATGGCCAATCCTGTCCCCATAGGGTATGAACTCTGTAGCATAGGGAGACTTGATGGATGGTGGTATTGGGGAAATCAACAAATTCATCCTAGAAAACAGGATGGAGTCCAGCTCTGTCAGTATTCTCGCCATGTTGGCTGCTAGGCAGGTTTACAGGGTGTCTTGAAAAACTTGTAGCAGGCTCCTTAAAGTAGATGACCATGGGGAAAAGGTACTAGATGTTAACCCTCAGTGATGAACATTCCATGTCTGTGATCTGGGTTTCACTCTGAATGGAGCTTAAGGCCTCTCGAGAGGCATCTCCACTCTCCACTCTTTTGTCTCTGAATGCAGAGCCATAAACCTATAAACAGCCTTGACTAGTTATCTTTAGGGCCTGGAATCCAGCCAGCAGGGACTTCAAATCATGACAGGAAACAAAAAAGAATTGTTAACCCAAGAGAGTAATGTTCCGAGCTATTTACGTTGGCATTTTTCTTCCAAATTAAGTTTGTTTTATTTTCTAATTGTGGAAGATCACACCCCCCCCACCTCATAATCCTTACCCAGAGAAAATGGGGTGTAGTCTTCCAGATCTTTTCTTATGCACTATATAAATACATGTTTTAAATATGTAATTAGTTTTGTAAAAATATTTATACTTCCAATATCAATAGATACATTTTTTCAGTATTGTTAAACTTTGAATTCATTAAACTTAAGTAAATCTTAAAATAAATAAAAAGTAGTTTGGGGCGCCTGGGTGGCTCAGTCGGTTGAGCGGCCGACTTCGGCTCAGGTCATGATCTTGCGGTCCAGTCCGTGAGTTCGAGCCCCGCGTCGGGCTCTGTGCTGACAGCTCGGAGCCTGGAGCCTGTTTCAGATTCTGTGTCTCTCTCTCTCTGACCTTCCCCTGTTCATGCTCTGTCTCTCCCTGTCTCAAAAATAAATAAAAAACGTTAAAAAAATTTTTTTTTTAAATAATAAAAAATAAAAAAAATAAAAAGTAGTTTAAAAATGAGGCATCAAAATTAAATAAATCTCCTATTTATGGACAGTTATGTTATTTCCAACATTTAGATTTTATAAACAATACTTTGATCCTTGTTGCTAAATCTTTGTGATACCTTTATTTGTTCTCAGCTTTCTTTCATATGTATATATTTTTAATCTCTTAATCTCCTTGGGCTGCATTCCAAAAAGTTTCTTTCTTTGTCTACTTAAGCCTTCTTTTGTTTTTTAATGTTCATTTATTTTTGAGAGCAAGAAAGGCAGAATGCAAGGAAGGGAGGGGCAGAGAGAGAGAGAGAGAGAGAGAGGCACGGAATCTGAAGCAAGCTCCAGGCTCTGAGCTGTCAGCACAGAGCCCTACATGGGGCCAGAACTCACGCACCTGAACCATGAGATCATGATCTGAATGGAAGTTGGATGATTAACCGACTGAGCCACCCAGGCAACCCTTGTCTGTTCAACCCTTCTATTGAGATTTTATTTTTAATTATCATAATTTAATATTTCTAAAAATTCCATTTTTCAAGTCTGTCCTCTCTTTCTGATATTTTCTATTCATTTTTTAAAAAATGTCTTTAATCATTTAAACATGATTTTTTTGTGGTGTCTACTATCATGGTTTCTGATAACAACCACTAGTGCTCTTGTTCACAGTGGATTCTTTCCCCATGAGTTTTGTAATTTTGGTTCATGAGCTCATCTTCTGTGGACCTCATTGGGAATCCTGGTGTAAAAATATGCCCCTTCAGAGACATTTTCTGATAGCTTCTGCCAGGCACACAATGGGTATTATCAGCTCAGAACATGTTTTATATTAACTGATAGTTAACTATTAACTCTAGTGAAAATCTGAATGCCAAATCCATGTGGTCAGACCCATGATTATGAATTCTCAGACTAGACCAATTTTGTCTCCATCTAGATCCTAGACAGAAGAATGTCATTGTCATCTCTCTCTGCCTTTGGGTGGATTGTTCTAGTTCAACTTCTCATCTGTCAGTGGCCAGAGTCCTTATCTGTGTTCCCCTACATGGGCATTAAAACCCAAGCCTAAGTTGTGAGACCAGAAAAACATCCATAGAACATCCAGAGTTTCAGCTCAGTTGTTATAGCTTAAGATTCCAGGTTCCTCTTCATTTTTTATCCCAAGAGATTTCCCTAACTTTCTTGCAAAGCTCAGCTCTGCATCTAAAAGAGTCTTAACATTTTCTCTAGTGTTTCCACTTTGTAGTGAGAGAGTTTTCGGTTATTTAGACTAAAATGTTGCCAAAACTTAAAAGGTCTTAAGTATATCTGCAGTGTAAATTCTCAAAGGAGGAATTTCACGTTTAAGTGACATGTATATTTTTAATGTATCTCATACATTAACATTTCATAGATAATACACAATGTGGAAAGCAATTTGTCCTCAGAATATCTTATAACTCAAGAGCACAATGGTAACCCAGGACAGCTTTGAAATAAATTCTTAGCTCTTTGGTTAATGAAACCTGTCTTCTTATTTCTCTCTCACTTTAAGCATCTTTTTGTTAAAACTCTATTTTTTCAAAAAGTGAAAAAAGCAAATTGCAGAGAATGAAGCTCACTCTTAGATTTTTATTTCTGGTACGTTTCTTCTTTAACAGAACATCTGCCTCATCATGAACTTTGGAAGTTTAGATCAAATGGGCTAAACAGGAATGCTCATGGAATTCTGATGAACAAGAGTTTTCTAAAAATATGTTCCCAAGTTCTTCCCTCTACAAGGTGAGGACCTACTATATGTATATTCAATGTTCACATCACTCGCATATATACATGTCTAAGGCTGGGTGGTGAAAACAGAGGAAGACGCTACCTAGGGATGAAGCAGGAATGAATTAGTGCACATGCTGTGATTTTTTAGTGGCTACCTCTCCTAGTCCTTAAACTGTCACTGAAGAGTAGCTTTGAACAAGTTGCAAAACCCTGAAAGGTCATAACCCAGGAAGGGAGAGACTCCGGGAACATGCACCAGCGAAGATGCATATGGATAAACAAGCCATAAAGTGCACCGTATTTTCTCTTTTCCAGCATTCACTGAAGACTTGACCTCATGCTATTACCCTGTGAAAGTGGAATTTTAAAACAGCCAACCCCAAACAAACCTGTACTAATCCCAGGGTGGCCAGCTTTACTCATCGCTAATGAAACCCAGGAGGGTCCCGAAGTGAAGTGTGACAATTTGAGAGGCAGAGTGAAGATCACAGAGGTGAGAAGCCTATCACCTCTTTTTTCCCATCCCAAGGAACATACGGGCGAGACTTAGCATGTCCGAAGTTCTTGTGGCCTGGACAGAGGTCCCCTGCCTGAGAGCTACAAGGAGATGGATGCCCACCTCTGTCACACTCTCTCCTCTAGCTGGCCCAGCTCAGCCCTTTCAAAGGTGCCTTAGCTGACTGAGGGCATTCAGCTGTGACAGCCATTTGCACATGTTATTTCTGAGGAACTAGGTGAATGCACTCACATGGAAGGAGGTGATGAGAATGAGAAATGGTGTAAGTGACTGGTCTGATCTCCTGGCTGGCAGGCTGTAGGGTCATGACTCTGTGCTCCCTCACAGGGGTATGGTTAGAGCTTATAAGTTCTCTTCTGTCTGACTGGAGTAAATGGGGTGGTGTTGGAGCAGTGCTGGCAGAAGAAGGCTGGATCTCCAGGAACTAAGATATAAGGGTATTATCTGCCACAATTCTGCTTCTTATTGATCTCTAGATACTCCCTTGGATGGTAGAGTCAGGCTCTGCCATACTCCTCAGAATGGATCCAAAGAGTCAGAATTAAGTCAGTCATCAGACAGGGATCAGAGGTGGACCTCCTCCATGCCCACTTTTCCTTTCTGACTGGTTGAAATCAAGAGCCTCAACCACACATGAAATGATGATGTCCTGGAGCTTTGTGAAGCCACAGGTAGGAAAATAGCTTGGGTCCTTGAAACACTGTGTGGAGGAGTGTGCTTTACAACCCCAGATATTAATTTTGAATTCTATACAAGCAAAAAAAAAAAAAGCCCATCACCTTATATTAGGAAAGTTTAATGTACTTTAATAAATTATCATTCTGAGATTTCTTTTCATTGGATTCCTATATAAATTCTGCTTTTTTTTTTTTTTCTGGATGGCATGTCTTCTTTTAGTTTGGATGTATTTATTTTTGAGGATTAATCAAATAATATTTTAAAGAAAGGGTACTGAGGAAATAAATTTCTGGACATTTTATGCCAAAACAAAAAGTCCCTATTTTGCCCTCTCTTGATTAGGTAGATTTTTATAGACAAAGGATTTTATATTTAAAACTATTTTTTCCCTCTGAATTCAAAGGCATTGCTTCACTGCCTTTATGCATCTATGCTAATGAGACATCTATGATAGAAAAAGTGTCAGGAGATAACAGCAACCATGCAAACAGCCAGTACATACACGAACAAGAATCATGTGTAAATGAGAATCAAACATTAATGAGAATCCATTTTCTTCTCTATCAGATTGACAAAGATTATAAAAATGGTAATACTCAACATTGGTGCATATTGGAAAATGAATATTTGTCTACACTGCTGATGAGTGTGAAATTGGAACAAAATTTCTGGAGGACACATTTATAATATCCAAAAATAAGATCTATTACTTTTACTTTGTAGGTGAGATTTTTTTTTTTCCTAACAGGAAACATTCTAGTTCTCTTTTATCTTTGGTGTAGCAAAGTTTCATTGAGCTACATTTGAGTGAAAAGCTATTTTTTTTTTTTTTAATTTTTTTTTTTCAATGTTTTTTTATTTATTTTTGGGACAGAGAGAGACAGAGCATGAACGGGGGAGGGGCAGAGAGAGAGGGAGACACAGAATTGGAAACAGGCTCCAGGCTCTGAGCCATCAGCCCAGAGCCCGACGCGGGGCTCGAACTCACAGACCGTGAGATCGTGACCTGGCTGAAGTTCGGACGCTTAACCGACTGCGCCACCCAGGCGCCCCGTGAAGAGCTATTTTTATTCATCAGCTCAGCACTTACTGGGCCATTTCTTCCTTCTGTTTTGTTCTAGCCTCAAGGAAATAGTTCTATGATTTATTTTTTTTTTTTTCCTGCTTTTAATTGTCCTGATTTTTTTTTCTTTCTCAAGCTGTCATTAGATGGATATTGGTCCTTCTGTATGGATCTGTTATACATTTTAAAGTTTCTCTCATGTTTTTTATCCTTTTTTTGGTCTTTTGCTTTATATTACTTTTTTTTCTCTTAAAAAAAAATTCTTTTTTTAAAGTAACTTCTAGGCCCAGCCTGGGGCTCGAACTCATGACCCTGAAATCAATAGTTGCATGCTCTGCCAACTGAGCCAGATAGGTGCCTCTAACCTTTGCTTTATATTTTTTAGAGATTTAAAAAACTTCTCTTCTTTGCTTTCTATTGATTTAGTTTCATCAAATATTTAAATATTTTAAATTTTCATGAACTCTAGTTCCTTTTCATATCAACCTATTCTTGTTTTGTCGATGTGATATCTTCATATAATTAGTTTGACCAACAAGGGTAATAATTAGAATATGTAAAAAGTTCTCTTTTTCATGTTATCTGTTCCTGTCACTGAATGTTTTTCTCTTTTTTCAGGTTGGCTACTCATTTTGGTGTTGTTGATTTTCCTCAAATATCTGGTAATCCCTGATCTTTCATCCTTCCTCACAATTGAGGTCTGTGCTGATTAATTTGAGTAGCTGGCATGTTTCTTCTTTACTTGGCTATTATAAATAATAAATGCACAATACAAAATGTAATTTTAAAGAGTGTTATCTTGTTAGAAATGGGCTCACTTTAATAAAATATTTTATTTTTTCTATATAATATGCTGGTAATATTGACTATCGATAGGACTGCTAGATTTATCCATATAGGAAATCTATAACATTTGTTTGATCCCACCTAAAGCTATCTGATTAATAAACTATCTTACAAATATACACTTTGAAATTTTGTCTAAGAATTTTTTGAGTTAAAAATCTCTTCATATTTAGTTGAAATGTTTTAGGGGAATCAAATTATATTTTTTTAATATCAACACATTATTTTATATGTAAAGGAAAATCCATTGTGTCATAGATGTCTATACTTTGTGACCATGATGTATTGATGCCTTATGTGGGCATAGATGTATATGTAAAGTGTGTGAAATTGGTATGAACACTATTAAAATAGTCACATGACTTAGCTACAATTATGTACAAAATAAACACATTATGGGGAAATCATGTATTGTTGGCAAAAGAGATTATTTTTCTTTAAAAAAAAAAAAACCCTCATGGAATGATTGGCTGAATCAGCCTGGTGAAAATTTTCATTCAGAAGATGCCAACATCTTTTTCCATGATCTTACATTGCTACCCATTCATTTTTCACACATAGGGCCTTGTTCATACTGGGGCTCACAGTCAAGTTGTAGGCTAGATTGATCTCATCACAGTGAAGCCATTACACTTTTTTTGGTCTTCCTTACACATTTGCTCCATGCATGCTTAAAATCTGGAAAAAACATACTCATGGGCTGGAGAAACAAAGAAGCAGCAATTTCCTTGCCTTATTCCTTGGCCAGTGATGAAGTAGAGAGCATGATGTGGTGATTGGAGCCAGACCTAACTCTGGCCATGGGCATTGCTGCCGACCCCAACCTAATTAAGAAAGATCTTGAATAAACTTGGGTGAGAGCCAAAATCACTAGCCTCTTCAATCAGTATTTTTGATATAAAAATTAGCATCTGGGCTGAGTAAAAGGGAGCCCTGTTTCTTGCCAAAGCAAAAAAAAAAAAAAAAAAAAAACCTCTTTTGCTTCTACTCTGACTTCCTGATGTTGGGTATTTTATCAATTTGTATCTGTGATCATTTTCAGAGCAATTGACTTACAATTGTCAAGTTCTGTCCTAAACCCTGTCACAGGCATCAGCCTTTTCCAAATGGGTAAGCTGGACTGACTTGTTTTCTTATTCCTTATTGAGTTACCCTTCTAATACATAAAGTTTAGCTGAAGTAACTGTAAGAAATATGACTGGACAAGGAATACGACATTCAAAGGAAAATAACGCAATGCCCTGTTGGAGCTTTGGAAGTCCTCTTTACACATTGGTAACACCCTGAAAACTTCAACAAAATGGCCTTCCAAGATGAGTCCACTATTAATCTCTCCAAGAGTAGAGGATCATAGTAGAGAGTAGTAGTCTAGAGGATAATGTATGTTGAGGTCTTGGTACAGTATCTGGCACATAAGTGTCCAAAAAATGATTGATTTGCTTTCAAGATATCACATGACTGCTTCAGAAATAATTCCTAGTCTTGAGGTACCTGGGTGGTTTAGCTGGTTGAGCATCTGACTTTGGCTCTGGTCATGATCTCACAGTTTGTGAGTTTGAGACCCACATTGGGCTCTGTGCTGAGCTCAGTTCAGAGCCTGCAGCCTGTTTCAGACTCTGTGTCTCCCTCTCTGTCTGTTCCTCCCCCACTAGCACTCTGTTTCTCTTTTTCAAAAATAAGTAAACATTAACAAAAAAACTCTTTAAAAAGAAATAATTCCCAGTCTTGATCCAGGAAATTCACACGCAGGGTATGATATAGAGAAAGGAAAGATTAATATTTGATTCATGTTAATGCCTTTGTTATACTAAAGACTACTTTCAATGAAATTGAAACAAATTAAGGGACAAAGACATTGCTACCTTTTAGAGAAACTCAGTGAAATATTCTCTGATGAAATCATATGATTTTTGGGGCTTTCTTCAAAGTAATCTGTGAATGGGGGGAAATAGATGAAAGGCCATGAACTGATAATGTTTGAAGCTAGGTGATAGGTGCATGTGGGTTCTCTATACTATTCTCTCTTATTGTATGTTGAAAATTTTCCATTTTAAAACCTTTTAAAGTAGATGGATTAGAAATAATTTTTAAAAAGTGGATGGACTTCTGTCAGTTCCAATCTGAGTCCCTCCCTAAGAATTCCCTTTGGCTGAATAGAATTGTCTTGCCCAAAGTAATGCCCTCTCCCATACCTGTACCTTGGTAACTTGTATCTCATGATTAGTTGATGGCAGAAAGAACATAGAGGCTTGTCTCCTTTGCTTCATTTTGAGATAACTCTAACAGGCCATCTCTGTTGCATAGCCCTCCATGGGATTGACTGAGGCCTTTATTACGATGAAATCACAGGCTTCTCCTTTTTCCAATCCTGTTTCCTTGCTCCATCCTAGATATTGTCCCATTGTATGTGGTTTCAGTGGTGTGCTGGTAAAGGTTTAATAGATGGCTCTCCAGGTACCTGATCTGTAGTGTTTGCCAATTTCCATGGTGTAAATACTTTCAACATGGCCAAATTCAAGCTACCAAGGTGACGTCACAGAAGGAGGAGGTGGAAGCAGATGGGCACAGTTGGTTCTTTTGACACAGTTCAAGTCAGCACTAACACTCTTGCCAATTTTCCTTAATGGAATTCTTAAATGCAAATCTCTGAGTCTTTATTTAGGGTAACCCAAACTAACACAAAACCATCAATTATTTTTTATATTGTCTATTTTGGTGATTTGTCTATTAAAGAAACTAACATTTCATAGGCAGAATGAAATGACATTGGTCACCTCAAGTGTTTCAGTGAAACACACACACACACACACAGCCCACAATACTGTAAGACAGTGTCCCATAATAATTGCTTCAAAACATTTAAAATACAGACACCTTTTAATTTCTTAAAATTACACAGCTACATAGGGTGTTCTGAGAAAACAGACTTCAAATAAGTTGTTTATACTGAGACTAGGAAAAATGGCCAAGAGATCACCAGATAAGTTCAAAATATAATTGTTATTACTGCCGTAAATCAAAGTACATATTTAAGAGAGTTAAAGTTTCCTTATCAAATATTTTAAGTAAGAGTAAGCCATTTATAAAATTTGCTATCTCTGTAGAAAATACAGAGGAGCATTGCATGTTTGAAGAACTGTTAAGACTTTTACCCTATTCAAGAGCTGTTGTTGGAATAAATAAATAATCAGAGGCAAATATCCAATTTTGTAGAAAAAGAAAGTAGCTGGAAAATGGGAACAAAATGTCCCATTGAGGAGAAAAGGTTGGAATAATTCACTTTACTTTAGTAGTATAAGCACCCTTAATTATCAACAGACACTCAGGACAAAGTTTCTGTTATGTTTAATTAGAGACAACTGATCAGTCAAAACAAGAACTCCAACAATGGTTCTCAAATTATGACATGGATTAGAATCCCCTGAGGAGACTTGCTAAAATGTAAATTCCTGAGCACCAACAGCTATTCTAATTCAGTTAAGTCTGGCGTGGGGCCCAGGGATCTGCATTTTAACAAGCTTCCTAGTACATTCTGAAGCCCATGGTGTCTGTCAAACCAAAGCATGCTGAAAGGCAATGTAGCCAAACGTCCACAATACAGTTCCATAATAAGATTAGGAATGTATGCCATTTCCGTTACACAAATGTATTTCCCTTACAAAATCAGTCTGCATCCTTTATCTACTGTTTCACTAAAGGCCATTTTTAGAACATCTTCCATCTATCTATCTATCTATCTATCTATCAGCAAGCCAGATTCTCATCTCTGTACCTTTATACTCTTGCTTGCTCTGTAAAGGAAGGGGAAAGTGTGTGTGTGTGTGTGTGTTTGTGTGTGTGTGTATGCATTTGGGAAGGTTGGGGTGCATAACAGAGTTTTGTTAGAAAATTCTCTTTCTCAACAGAACTGGCCAAAGGGACATTTTGTCTGTGGTATAGTTACTGAGATTCAATAATCCCTATTGATTTGAAATTATGCTTTTATTAACCTAGCAGATATTTTCTTATAAAAATTAAAAATTCTCACAATCACCCTCTTAACCAACTTCACTCTATATGACATGTGCTCTTATATTACCAGCCCTATGGGATCTGGGCCCCTCCTAATGTGCATTGCATTTAGTTGTCCTCATAAGTGTATTCAGTGTAGACCCTCTGACAGAGCGTGTTTTTTTTTTGTTTTTTTTTTTTTTAATCTTGCACTTGAGAATGTAATAAATTGCCCTAGGATCTTGATGAAACAGGAGTAGGAGTAATGTCCGCCTTGCTCCCCAGGCCGGGTGGGTAAGTAATTATTTTCCTATCACGACTTAGACTCCGGATCTTCCATAAAAGGCACACTGGTCACAAAGACATCCCTTTATAAGCTTAAAACTCAAAGCGTGGGTGTGAAGATGTGTATGAAGGTCATGGACATCCAGAATGGAAGGGGATGTTTACGGCTTACTGTACCTCAGGTGAAGCCCAGATGTTTCACTGGCCTCTTTGTCTATTGTTCCCTTTATAGGACTGAACACACTTATGCATTTTGGATAATTAACTAGAATCAATTTTGTTTCAATGAACACTTCTTTCTTTCTTTCTTTCTTTCTTTCTTTCTTTCTAGTTTTACTTATTTTGAGAGAGAGAAAAGGCATGAGTAGGGGAGGAGCAGAGAGAGAGGAGAGAGTGAGAATACCAAGCAGGCTCCACACCGGCAGTGCAGAGCCTGACTCGGGGCTCAAACTCATGAACCACAAGGTCATTACCTGAGTCGAAGTCGGCGCTTCACTGAGTGAGCCACCCAGGCACACTTAAGTGCACATTCTCGAGTGAGAAGACCTACATGTCTTCCTTTTTTGGGGACATTTATACTACATATATTTTCTTTGCATAAGTAATCCTATGCCAATTCATTGGGAAAAGTTGGAATTTAGTTATCAATATTAGTCCTGGGATGGGCAACTGCATTTTCAGAACCACTCCCTCTCCTCTTTTGCTAAGAGTGATCCTAACAAATGTTTATGAGAAACTTTACCATTGCGATCCACTTTTAAACTGATGTACCTAGTAGGGGTTATACTTTCCCCATAAAAAGCTCTCTACACGGATCACCTTTATCCTTTAATAAGTTGTGAGCATCAGGGCATAATGCTGTATCCAACACTGGTGCTTCAGGCTGGGTTTCTTTCTTGGTGCACAGCATGAAAGCTTGGGTCCATCTGTGTCACAAGTCAAACCTCTCTTGAAGTGATTTGTTTATACTGTCATTTGATGGAGTGGAATGTTCTGTAACTCATTCAAACTATTACAGAAGCTTTGTTAAAAGGTCACCATTGCTCTTTGGAGTTTCCAAATCTGGGAGCCATCTGGGAGCTTGTTAAAGATAAGGTTTTCCACTGGCTTTTTCCATACCAACTAGATCCAATTAGCAAAAGGGTACTATTCCAGATAAGTTTGTGTTCACATTTAGAAAGAGAGAAAGACAGACAGACGTAACAGAGACAGAGAGAAAGAGACAGAGAGAGAACGGAGGTAAATTACAATTAGTCGCTCAATAGTGTATAAGCCTACTTTACACCAGAATTGGAGTTCGTGTGCCAGCCGACAGTAAGAACTCAATAGGTCTGAATGGGGGTGTCAGTGTTAAAAAAGTTGAATGGAAGTTGCTTTTAAATGTTGTTTTTGAATCAATACATTCAAGTATAGTCTTGAGAGTCAACTCTAAAGGAAATTGAATCTCACCATTTACTCAAAATTTAATAGGAAAATGACAACTCATTCCTTAAAGTAATAAGGGCTATGTTTGCAAGCTAAACATTCACTCCACATGGCACAGACAACCTTCCAGTTGCTATAACATTACAGTTTTAGTCTAGGCCTAAAATTGGCTTGTGTTTGCTTTCTGCCCCCTTCCTTACGAAACAAAAGTCTTGGATTTTCCAAACCTCAAAAGCTCAGCTGTAAAACTGTAGGAGACCAGCGAGAGGAAAAGGAAAGTTTCCTTCAAAGACGTCTTTAGTCACTGTTGGCCGATTCTGCTCTCTCCCTCCAAACGTTAACTATGGCTTTTGACACTTGTCCTTGGAAAAAGTCCAAATGTGGCAAATGGTAGAAGCAATATTTCTTTACCCTCCTGCCTGGAGCTCCCCATGATACAGATGAGTTCTAGCTGGGGCATTCATGGGTGAAACAAGGAGGTCAGCTACTGCCCACCACCTCTGCTCATGTCTGCAGATGAAATAAGTAAACACGGAGTGAGAATCTACTGAATTAAAAATCAAAACCCTCTCATTTGGTTGGAATGCCTGAAAGAGTCTGGACCAAAGAGGCTGCACAGTAGCAGCTAAAACACAGGCTCATTGCCATTAAAAATGTTCTAGGAAGTGTGTGTGTGTGTGTGTGTGTGTGTGTGTGTGTATACGTGTGAGTGTGTGTATGTGCACGTGTGCGCATGCATGCGTGTGCATGTGTTTGTAGCAGGATACTTGGATGAGGAGAAAAGTTAAAATCTGGAACCATATTTTTGTCTTTGCAGTTCCGGATTGGAGACATTAAAAACATGACATTTCCTTCAGTTCAATTCAGCTGGTTCAGAAACCAAAACTGTCCTTAGAAAGGGGGAGAAATCCATTTATGTTCCTTTTGAGGCAGGGCGGGAGGTCTTTCTGGCAAAGTCTTTAGGTGCAATTCGGGACCAGGAGACTTAATCGTCCAGTTCAAAGCTTGTCTCATCATAGAGTTCAGGGCGCGCTGACTTCTTGTGCCGGGAATACTTCAGTTGCAGGAGATCACCCATTTCATCCAGGTTTTCCAAAACCTGCAAAGAGATTGCCTTCCATCAGTTATTCTTTAAACTCCTAAATGGCTCTGCAATCCAGAGCCTCAGAGATACAATCTTCTTTTGCCATCTTCTTTGATTTTAAAGAAAAGGAGAAAGATCCAAATCATTAAGGTGTGGTTTACAAACCAGGTGTAGAAGAATCTTAGATGCTAATTCATTTTATTTCATATTCTTTAACAGCCTACCCCATATTATGAATATTTAACTTATTTGGGGGGTGTGAAGAGAGGAATAAAAGTATCTGATGCATGCTTACCCTTTCAGGCCTTATTTTAAAATTTAATGAATTATATATAACCTTGTGGAAGAAAAAGGTAAGGTTGCAGGTTACAACTGGGTTGTGTCTTCGTGACATAAATGGCCAAGAGCAAAATGGAACACTGTGGGAGCTGATTAGTGTCTTCTTCTCTCTCCCAAATTTCCCTACCCCAGCTATTAAACACTCATTTCTGTGTTCCATGGAATCATCAAACTTAAAACCTTAAGGGACCAAGAACTCATCCATTTCAGTTCTCTCCATTCAGGCAGGAAAATGTATCCCCAGTTTTCCCGAGAAACAACCAAGATCCAGGACAGACAAAATCTAATATATCACTAATCTTATGGCACTGGGGATATGCCCTTTTAACATTTTTAGGCCTTTCTTACCCTGTCCGTTGAGACAGACGATATTAGGATCTAATGCTTTGAAAAAGGGAAGATGTTTGTTAACACTGGAACGAATGATTAGTGGAGCATAAGGATTTTCCTCTTTGGGAAGTCTTTCAAACTGGCATCAAGTTAGGTACCCACCAACATGTGAAGACTCATCTATTTCTGGGTGGTAGCATTACGGGTGGTTAAAATGTTCTTTTTACTTCAATGTACTTTCTAAATTTTTCCAGCAAATCTAAGCACTAAGACAAAGTAACAAAAGTTGGATTTAAAAGGACATCAACTAGGATAGTGTCTGTTGCTCTTTGCTGAAGGCAGGGGTGGAGTAATACAGGGCGTGCATCTACATACCTGGCGGGGGTAGGAAAGACAATTCCTGGAAGGTATGGGAGGAGAACATAGGCTTTTCTATTCAGGTTAATTTCAACCTTTTTAGCTTCCATTTTTGTATCTGCTACAAAATGTACGTAATATATTGACAATGCATATATAACTTATAAATGGATTTGTGTTGAAGCCCATTGATCAGACTACCCAGAGCACACCTGTACTCAAATGAAGGTAGGTTTATTCCAGTTGCTGCAGCTGGGAGTGTGTATTTCAGAAGAACCATCTTAGGAAGAGGGAGTTGGGAAGGTCTCCTTATCAAATTTGGACTTGTGCTCCAGATGACTCTAAGGAAGCAGGGACCAGTTCTGGGTTGGATGTTGTCTGGAGCAGGAGAAATTCAGTGATTGGCTATGTGCCAAATTCTTAGGTGGAGGGCAGGATGCCTAAGGTGGGGTGATTGGTAAAGGAGCAGCAATCATGTTAGAAGAAGGAAATTCTGAGGCATTTTGTGTTTGTAAAGTGGCTTCGACTCTGTCTTGTTCCAAACATGGTCATGGAGGAGACTTGTCTAATATGTATTTTCTGTGAGTGTTAATGTTCGGTTGTTACCTTAATGCCTTGGCTGTTCATGGGTCATTTTTCACTTTCCCTGATGTGTATATTGAGGAATATGCTCACAACTTTTTATTGATGTAGGTGCCTGATTTCAAAAGTTTAGAGGCATCTGTCTAGATGATGTCTCAGTGCTCCTTCCAAACCAGGTAGTCCAAAGGAATTAAGAACTTGCACAGAGAATCACAAGGTCTGATGTCTACAGAGTTGGGCATTCATGAATGTTTCAATGCTGCTGAGATCACAAAAAATACAAATCCACCTCTGCTGCCCATCTCCTTCTGTCATCTCTGGGAGCTTCTCCCTGGCTATTTCCTTTGCTCTACCATGCTTAATGTTGCTCTCTTTACTCTTTTCCTCCCTTAATGTGTAAACATGCTCAAGTATTTCCCAATTTTCAAGCGCTTTTTCTAAACCTATTTTTTTTTTTTTTTGCTTTTACTGTCAAACTCCTTGAAATATTTGACTACTTTTTGGAAAAAAATAAATAATTTGTTAAAGTTAATCACTAGAAATAACTCATTTTAAAGAACCTGGGCAATATGGAAAGATACAAAGAACAACAACAAAGTTCACCCATCATCTCAAAGACCTAGAATTTGCTCAGTTATTAGTGTGCCATGCAGAAAGTTGTTATTATGTATGTACTCTGGAGTATACATTGGTTTAAGTCCTAAGAATGTAATGGTGAAGCAGAAAGACATGGAGACTCTGTGCGTATGTGTGTGTAGTTTATTATTGGAGCTCAAAGTATTCACTTTTTTATTTGTTGTATTCTTATTTCTGTTCCCTATATTCTCCTAAACCTGTCTGCTTGGAGGAACATCGAGCTCCTGCTAATTGCTAATCCAATAGCTTCTTCCCATCTCTTGGAGACACTTTGATCCTCCCCCTCCCTGAAACTTTTTCCTTCTTACTGTGTTTAACACTACACTAGTTTGTGTCTTTTCAGACTCCTCTAGCCCCACTGAAGTCTCGTTCCTCACCTGTGGTTCCCGTGTCTACGCTGGGAGATGGGCACTCTGCCGGAGCCTGTCCTTGGCCTGTTCACTTGTGTTTGGACAATTATATCCTCTACCTTTGCTTTCATGATCCCTCAGCTGCCTAAACTACAGAAGCTCCAGCATTGCATATGCTCCCAAGCTTAGAATCTGATTTTCTTTTCCACAGGTGGCCCATAGACATATAATCCCAACCTGTCTAAAACTGAGCTTGTTTTGTTCCTCCAGTCTCATTGATGATTTGCTGTTCTTTTTGTTTTTAATTTTTTTTAACATTTATTTATTTTTAAGACAGAGAGAGACAGAGCATGAACAGGGGAGGGGCAGAGAGAGAGGGAGACACAGAATCTGAAATAGGCTCCAGGCTCTGAGCGGTCAGCACAGAGCCCGACGCGGGGCTAGAACTCACAGACCGCGAGATCATGACCTGAGCCGAAGTCGGACGCTTAACTGACCGAGCCACCCAGGCGCCCCGATGATTTGCTGCTCTTTATTGCATACCTTATCTCATATAAATGGTTTAGCTTTACCATCCTTCCATTCACCAGGTCTGGAGACCTTGAATTATCTTTGATTCCCTCTTCCCAAATATTCCCTGCATGTGATCATTTGCCAAGTCTTGGCAGCTCCGTGCATTTACGATGTCTGTTCATATATACGTTTCTTTTGTTTCTACTGCCATTGATCTTGTCATCTCTCTTTTTTTTTTTTTTTTCCCAAACAGCTCCATTTTAGGTCCCTTCATCTTGCCTTTTCCCTCTCCAATCAATTTGTTACATTTATTTTGTAGTAACATGATTATGTCACTCCTTTGGTCAGAAACCTTGGATGATGTTCCATAACTTTTATTAAAAAAGCCTTAGCTCAGGGGTGCCTGGGTGGCTCAGTCAGTTAAGCGTCTGACTTTCACTCAGGTCATGATCTCACAGTTTATGAGTTCGAGCCCCACATCAGGTTCTGTGTTGATGGCGCAGAGCCTGGAGCCTGCTTTGGACTCTGTGTCTCCCTCTCACTCTGCCTCTCCCCTGCTCGTGCTCTGTCTCTCTCCCTCAAAAATAAATAAACATTAAAAAAAAAAAAAGGCCTAGCTCAAAAGTCACCTCTCCTGTGAAATATATATATAATATCCATATCCATATATATCTTTATATATTATGAGTCATTATATGTGTATGTATATTACACATATACACATAATTAATTCACATCTTTGCACATAACTTATTCATATGTAATGAACGAATTCATATAATCTCATATATCATTTCTACCTTCATGCTTCCACAATTGTCCATATTTCTTTTCCAAGATGAATTTATTTTGTCCAATATTATCACTAGTTGCTTATTTATTAGTACCACCTGTTAGAGTTTTTGCCCTAGGGTTTTGACTAGACAGTCAGTGTGTTTGCTAAACTGCATTGACATTATGAGACAGTTCCATCAACCCCACACTGATTAAGATGGCTTAGTTTTCTGACATCACTCATTCACATAAAGATCAAAACCAAAGGACAATGAAATGTGGTTTTTAAATCGTGTACACGTCATGTAGGTCTGGATGATATGATAGATCTGTCTTTGTTATTGTTTTTCCAACACGTTGCTTCATTGGATCATATTTTATTATGATGGGCTTGGTGGCTACGAAAAATGTCAGGTTGTGGGAAGTTAATGCTGAAATAACACGTCAGGTTAGCTTTTGCATTTAAGAACAAGTAAATAGCATAACATGTGGCTACTCAGTCTGTTTTATGAAGCCAAATACTGACTTGAGTTAAGTCTTCACTAAACTCATTTTCTTTTCTATCCCCTGAGTTGACCACATTGTTGGACGTTGTAGGCATACCCTTGCTTTTTTAGCAGTGAGTTTATGAGTGTTGTTTTTCTACACCACCAAGAGAAACCCAGGGACACCGAAGCCAGCTCAATAAATGAATGTGCTCAGAACGCAAGGCACCAGTGCTGGAGATTCTGTTGGCCTGTCGTGTACTTACTGTGTCTAGCATCTCCCGGGTATGTGCTGCTGAAACACAAAACCGAGCCCGAGCTTCTGCGAGGGGAGTAGCTGGAAATCCAACGACCACCACCCCGATTTTTCTATTTAATAGATGCCTTGCAAAAGCCCTATGGGAAAGGTAAAAGAGGAGGTTAACTGAGAGATGACAAAGTTACATGGCAGGAGAAAGAATATGGCTAGTTGACATTTCTTATTTTATATCAATAAGTAAAAATGATTAAAGTTACTAAGCTTCTGTCACATATAATTGACAAGGAAATGGGGCAGTTCTTCCATGGCACCCATGGCTGAGTGTGTATATTATCGGGTCCAGCACATTCATTAGAGCATTGTGAGTACTGAGTCTCTGACATAGAGCAAAAAAAGCTGATGTATATAACCCTGGTTTAACAAGTTGGCATCCTTTGTCTGAAGGGTTTCTAGGAATAAAAACCCCAAAGCTAACACAATGCAATTGCATAAAGAAAGAACATACATGAAGTGCAAAGTTGTATGTTTTAAAAATTTAATACCAATAACAGAATACGGAAATTTCAAGAAGCCTGTACTTAGTGACAAGAATTTGAGAACCAGGATCTGAGGGTCTGCAGGAGCCAATCCTGAGCTGTATGTATTCTCACTCCAGAGCCAAAGATATATATTTTTTGCCCTCATTAAACCAGACATGGAAAACGGCAAGGGTCTCCTCATTTTTTATTGTGTGAATAAATACATCCAGGTATGGTCAGGGATAATAAACCCATTGACTGGGTTCAAGGGGAAATGGGGAGGGAGACAGGGAAAGAAATGTGCATACATAGAGTGGCTGGTCCATAGATGCAGCCTGTAGGATATAAGTCCTATAACTGCAATGCTTTTTGACACAGGGTAAAACCTTTCTAAGCTATGATTCCTTTCTCTTATCTTCTTCTAGCCTCCTTCTTTCACAGAGCTAATCTCAGTGACAATTCTAGAATATCAAGCTCTCAAAGTCTGCAATTTTTTTGTGCTAAGAGCCAACATCAGACAAAAAGGCATGTGCCCCCAAGTGAATCTTTGCCCATTTTGTGCTCTGTTGCTCTCTGTGGGAAACCTTAATTACGAAATGTCTCTGCCCACAATCAAGGTAAATGCCTCAGATCTGTTCTTAGCATTAAGAGGTTTCTGGTGTCCTATTTTAGGCTGGAAGCTGACAGCACCACACAAACCTTCCAGTCATAGCTCAGGAAGGATTCTTGAACCAGACGTGGAGAATGGGCCTGTTCATTTATTCATTCCTCTTGCCATGGAGCTGTCTGCCTTTTTGGTTACCTGATGCAGAATGCATGTTATCAGACAAAGTGATGGAGATTGCAAGACCTACTGAGAACACTGCCTCTCTGGCCCTGTGGCCTATGCAAGGCAAGATACGCCTTCTATTTGGACTGGGAAGATTAACAAGGAGACGCAGCTTTCTGAGAAAGCTTGAAAACAGAGGCTGTTCTTTCTCTTTCTTGTTCACCCTATGGAAGGCTGCCCATGGAACTACACAGGATGAGAGCTCATAATTATCTGAGAAACAAGGCAAGGGCTTTTATTGCTAGAATACAAACTACCTGACCCATGATCTCAGGCTACTTTTCGGGAGTCCCAAAAGACCGTTTTCACTGTCTGCATGTTTCTCTTTGTACCAGAGGAAGCGAGTTTTGCCAAAGAATGCAGAGCAAAATATATGACTGTTGATTCATTAGGCTAATCTGAGGCCTCCCTGGAGCACTTTTGGGCTTAAAATTTACACTACTAAACCTGGCCTTCTCCAGTTAATGTGTCTGATTGCCCTGAACATTTTATATAATGAGCCTCTGGATTTGTACTCCCCAAAGCAAATTAAAGCCAGTGTGGGCTGCAAGAAACCAAACTATGTGGATAATAATAATAATAATAAAAACATTAGCACTGCGTTATGTACAGCATCCCCACCTCTTGTATCCTCTCATCCTCCAAGTGTATCACAAGGCCCAAGTTTATTTGGTAAACTCTGTACCAAATAATAAATACATTCTTGATTATCTGAGTGAATGTTTCATGGGTGAAATCACATTGTACTGAACGTCATAGAAGATTCCAGTGGTAAGAGCTGCGACAAAACTTTGCCCAAAAGGATATGTGGCTAGAGACTTTATTTTCATTCTGCAGTCGGTGGAAATGTGGAGAAATCACAATTCTTTAGTAAAATTAAAGGGTTTAAAATGAGCAAATGAAAGATCAAGTGCTCATACACTGGCTTCTACAATTAACTCCTTGTCTCAAAAGCTTTTCTATGTATAAACTTTCCATTGAAGAAGTATTTGAGAAGGAAACAAGGCCAGGCAGCAGGGAGGCCCTTGCCAGCAACTCCTGCCAACAATACACGATATTACCTTTTGTAACTAACCTGTTCTAAGTTTCCATAGACAACCCAAGCAATTAGATTTTTCTTTCCGTTGCAGTGATTGATGCCTTTTGATTCACCAAAGATGACATTAAAGAGAGTTAAACTTATAGTCTGTGTTGCTTTAATGAGATGTTCATGTTTTCCTCCGTGGACTGAAGCTTCAGAGGCCGTGCTATACACTGAAAAGAGCTCTGGTGTAGGAGGCCAATGGAACTGGCTTTAAATTCTGGGCTCGGGGCGCCTGGGTGGCTCAGTCAGTTAAGCGGCCGACTTCGGCTCAGGTCAGGATCTCACGGTCCGTGAGTTCGAGCCCTGCGTCGGGCTCTGTGCTGACAGCTCAGAGCCTGGAGCCTGTTTCAGATTCTGTGTCTCCCTCTCTCTGACCCTCCCCTGTTCATGCTCTGTCTCTCTCTGTCTCAAAAATAAATATACGTTAACAAAAAAATTAAAAACAAAATTCTGGGCTCTACTATCTACAATCCGAGTGACTCTTAGCAGTTTAACTTTTGTGGGTCTCTGTCCTCATTTGTAAACTAGGACTAAGCATCCCAGCCTTGGTGAGTGATTGCTGATGTAAGAGTCTTACTCAGCATATAACCAGTGTTCAGCCACATCATCTCCTCCATAAATACCATGTGAAACTGGAAGGCATTAGATAGACACATCATCTGGTGTCTAACATAGCATATATGATACGGACAATAGCAGGATATCTACCTACTATTTTCCTGGAAAGTCTATTTTTATTAATGCAGCCAAAGATTGCAATAATTATTTTGGAGAGCCATGCAACCATGGTGATTCATTTTTGTACTCAGTTGAAACTAATAACAATAATAATAATCGTAGTAGTAGAAGTAGCAGTAATAATAATAACTACCATTGATTAAGTTATTATAGTATACCAAGTACTATATTAAATGCTTTATGTACATTGATAGTTAATACTACTACTACTAACAGTTCCCACCTAGACCATCGTGCACATGGCCAGCTCCTGTATAAGAAACAACAGGGGCGCCTGGGTGGCTCAGTCGGTTGAGTGGCCGACTTCGGCTCAGGTCACGATCTCGCGGTCCGTGAGTTCAAGCCCCGCATCCGGCTCTGGGCTGACAGCTCAGAGCCTGGAGCCTGTTTCTGATTCTGTGTCTCCCTCTCTCTGACCCTCCCCCGTTCATGCTCTGTCTCTCTCTGTCTCAAAAATAAATAAACGTTAAAAAAAAAAATTAAAAAAAAAAGAAACATGTTTTATTCTGATAGGCCTCATTTTGCTTAATCTTCACAATGGCCTTATGAAATAGGCACAATTACATCCCATTTAAAAATTTTTTTTTCAACGTTTATTTATTTTTGGGACAGAGAGAGACAGAGCATGAACGGGGGAGGGGCAGAGAGAGAGGGAGACACAGAATCGGAAACAGGCTCCAGGCTCTGAGCCATCAGCCCAGAGCCTGACGCGGGGCTCGAACTCACGGACCGCGAGATCGTGACCTGGCTGAAGTCGGACGCTTAACCGACTGCGCCACCCAGGCACCCCTTACATCCCATTTTAAAAATGAGAAAACTGGGGCTTCATAAGTTTGCACAACTTGTCCAAGGTCCCCCAGGTAGGAAGAGGTAGGGTCAAATCCTTTCTCATTCCAGACTCCTCAATACTCCAAGGAGCATACTTTTACAAGTAACACCCTGTTTTTATTTTTCATATTAGCTGTTGTCCAGTTAGGATTCCTGACATATAAAAGAGCAGAGGTACTCCCTCTCTCTTTGCTATCGCAAAGTTGAATTATTGAATTTAAATGCATTTGTTTTTACTATTTGTGAACTCTTCTCATTACATGGATTCATTTTTCCAGCATGTTGAGATTCTATTTCCAACCTCCACCATCAAAGTCAGAACTATCCGTTACACTCCCTACTGCCTCCCTCCGGTGTTGTGCACTTGAGGCTCTCAAAAATAAAACAAATTTATTTTTGGTGTCTTCATTTGAGCTAGTGATAAAATATTAGATAGACATGGGCTAAGTGTGGAATCTTACTTCCAGAACACCCCATTTTGCCAACCACTCTGATTAAACATAGGCTTTCTTTTGTGCCTTCTGAAATCAGATGGTAAAGGGTTTGGGATTATCTGCTATTTTGAATCACAGTTATACCTCCTCCCTTCCATAAGTACAGAGCAGTATCCTGTGTGATGTTTCTGTAGCACACTGTCTTCTTGCCCACTACATGCATAGCCTGACCCAGATCTGTGAACAAAGGACCCACTGATGGTAATGGTGTGGCACACTAAAGAACTCATATGTGTGTTTTGTTATTTTGCTGTGGTGAAATGATACAAAAGCATATGCTGAAGAATCAATCTTTCAGAAACTAATAACTCATTCCTACCCATCATGGGTTCTCAACTGATAGCCCCAGAGCCCCTTATCTATACTTAAAATACTCTGCCAATCTATTGAGACTGTTAGAGAGTCAAAAAAAAAAAAAATTCCAACAATAGGGTTATGTTGCAGGAGAGTCAGGACCAGTAGAATCTCATAAATATATGTTGACTATTACTTTCCATGGTGCACATGGCCAGACACCCAAATAAATATTTTACATTTAGAAAGGATTTTAATTAAGTTCCTTTTAATAACAGAGGTAGTGTGTGGCAGGTTGGAGAATGGCTCATGTATAAAATTGTCTATGCCATATTGAGAAATAGTCATTTTTTTCTCTTTATGCAGCTATTCTCATGCTCAATTTCAGAGCTGTAATCAATGGGAAACAACTCCGCACAGGTTTATAGGGGAGGCTTAAAGTTTGGTGTTCAGAGCATGAGCCCAAGTTTGGGTTTGTCTCTTGGTAGTCTCTTGATTTTATTACTGCTTAACTTATAGGAGTTTGGGCAAACTATTTAATTCTTATCAGCCTCAGTTTCTCCCACACTTGAAATAAGGGTGCCTTCTTCTGAGGATGGCCATGAAAAATCAGTGGAGAAAGCACAGAGCCTGGTAATGTTGTTTTCACATGTTGGGAGAGATGGTCTTCAGAAGTTCTCCTTGAAGAAGATCATGGGGCAGAAGGAGGCACAGGTTCATCCTTAATTTACAGTTGAGACCCAGCGGGTGATACCCAAATTCACAGAGCTCAAAAGTGGTGAGCCTTAGCACATGGTTCCTTTTTTTTTTTTTTTTTTAATTTGTTTTTTACTTGAGAGAAAGAGAGAGTGAGAGGGAGAGAGACAGAGTCCTGAGCAGGCTCTATGCTCAGTGTGGAGCCCGATGTGGGGCTCAATTACATGACCCTGGGATCATGAGCTGAGCTGAAATCAAGAGAAGAGTTGGATGCTCAGCCAGCTGAGCCACCCATGTGCCCCTTGATTCCCTTCTTAGAAGACCTGTGAAAAGGCCCTGCTGATGGGTTGGCCGGCGGCTTCCAAGAAACTATACAAATGAATTCTGAACTCGGCACCCCATTCAAAGTGCATAAGCAATGCCAGTGCTGAAGGAGCCTCATAGAGTCAGAAGCACTGTCTTTGTCAGATCACCCTGAGGCTCCACTGTTATTCTGAGAGTCTACTGAATACTCACGCTACTTTAGCAGGCATGTAAAGGAGCAGGGGAACGACGGGAGATTCCTCATTGCCATAGATAATGAATCCCATTTCGTTCAGTCTCTGTCTGAAGTATCTTGTATTTTTTGCAAGTTGCCGTACTCTCTGAAGCCCTGAAAAGAGACAGGCATGAAATCCATCAATACCACCAGGAAGAGAGAAGCAAAGGTCAGATTGACTTGGCAAGCATTCCTAAGTCTTTCTGCAGACCTGCGTCGTTAGCTGGGAGGGGGTCAAAATAGGGTGGGTAATATCTCTTGGTGAGCAAGTGTGGGCACTGATATCTGAGAACCGTCCTGAGTCTGGAAGACAGGATCCAATGGGTGGGGGGGGGGGGGGGGGAATTGTGTTATTAGGTACTGCTAGCAACTAAAAGTAGGCTAGTCTGTGGGGTGATGAGGGGACAAAAAGGGTGTCTAGTAAGAAGGAAGGAAATGAACTATCATTTACTAGGTACCTACCATGTATGGATTCTGTTCTAAGTGCTTTAAAGACATTAACTCAGGGAAAGGGAATGTGACAAGAAATGACACACACACACACACACACACACACACACACACACACACACCAGTTGTTTTAGCCAACTTGAGCTAACCCATTAAGTTGTTTCTCATCTAAGTCTCCAATCAAAGAGCATTTCACATAACCTGAACTTAAAGGGGTCGCACATCCCTGAACAAAAATAGGTCCAGCTGAGACCACAACTGTTTTCTGAGGCATTTGATAGTAGTAGAGTAATAGAGGGAAGGGAATAGAGGGAAGGGAAGAAGGGGACCTCTGTTTTCCCCAACCACAAAAAATGATGGTGTGGGCTCCAAACAGAAGGTCAAGGAAGGTACCTCTGTCCATTTCCAGGTTATTGGTGCTTCAGCTCAAAAGCCTCTGGCCTCCATGTGTGTCCCAGTGAGGACATCACACATATGAGAGAACAAAGGGAATTAAAGAGTGGAAAGAGTTCTGAAGAAACATGTCTACTCTATGAAGTAAATGAGCAAAACAGCAAAAACCAGAGTGTGTGTGCTCAATACAGAAGATTGAACAGAACTGGATGTTTAAGTTCCCTGGAAATCACTCCAGTGTTTGCATCTGATGCAAGGTGGCTATTGAGCAGGAACAGCTGCTATAGCTGACCTCCATTATGATTGGTCAGGTGTCCATTAAAACTGATCAGAGCTCTTGTTCTACTAATTTTTCAATATTCTGGACATCGATCCTTGGTATCTTTAACTCTCCTGGTGGAAAATGGGTAAAAATATCAATAAATATGTTAATCAGGTTTCTCCAGTTCCTTCTTGGAGAGTTGGCCTCAGACTGTGTCTTGGCAAAAGGATTCACAGTGGGCATTTCCTGTTCAGCATCCTTCCTCCAAAGGTCCATGATGTTCAGTTAGAGTTGGCCCTGACTTTTCTCTTTGCTACAAGGGTAGCACATGATCAAGACATGGCCAATTGGAACATTCCATCCCCTTGAATATTGGCTATGGAATACAACCTGGGCTCATCAGTCTCTCAGATCTGCTGAAGAAGAAGTATAAGAATGAGGTCATCCTCAAGCTACATGTTTGTCATCATATGGAGTAACAGGGGAGAGCTTATAGTCTAGTGGGAAGACTGAAATTACATCTAAAAATGGATGTAAAATTGCAAATCTAATAAGTGCTGTAGAGAATGCTATATGGTGTTATGAGAACCCATATTAGAAAGATTGGATCAAATTTGAGAAAGTCAATAAACGATGAGTGAGCTGAGATCAGAAAGGTGGACAAATGTTAACAGGCAAAATATCAGAGGACAGCATTTCAGGTACAGGAAACAGGTGCAATGGTCTAGTGGTTTGTAGAAGAAAAGAGTAGTTGAGAACCAGGTAAGATGTGGTTAAATGTGGGGCAAGATAAGGCTGGAGCGATGGGTAGATTGAGAAAAAAAGGACAGGAATTGAAGAATCCAACATTTCATGGTTGGGAAGAGGATGAACTTAAAAGGATGACAAAAACAGCAATCATAGAGGAAGAAGATAACTCAGGAGATAAATTAGTGTTCACCGAATTTGTTAACATGGCAATCATTGGTAACCTTCATTTTGGGGTCCCTGGTTTGGCCTTTGGTTTTAAAGGAACAGGTAGCTTCAAGTATGGTTTACTTTAACTCATATGTTAAATTTTTGCTGCATAGAAAAAGCCTCCTTGGTGCTTAAAGATGAATTGCTTTGTAACATGCTGAAGGGTTTCTTGGAAACTTGTATGTGCACAGTTTATTTATTTATTTAAACTTATTTAAATTTGTCTTTATTTAAAAAATTCATCTATACATCAAGACTGCGTGTTTAGGGAGGTGATAGCATAACAAGTAGGGAGATATTGTAGAAGAAGAATGAAAAGAAAAAGAGGGGCTGGAGTAAGACTTGTTTTAATGAAGGTGATTCAAATGAAGGCAGAGATATACATCAGCCACCAAAATGTATTCCATATGGCCTGTCGCCTTGTACGTTTAGCTCTTTTGTTGATTGTTAGCTGCACAATGAATAGATGACTTCATCAGGCTGGGTCTGATGATTCCTAAATGATCCCCCTCAAAGACCAGAAGGATTTCCTGGCCTGGAAGTGCATGAATGACTTAAATTGCTTTTCCCAATGGCATTATCTTTGCGCTTGCCCATAATGACTCATCTATCATTGGGCTGCCCAGCTACTTAATTGGCCCCGTCTGTCCCCTTTGCCTTGATTAACCCAAGTAACTGGATCATCAGCTAATGTCATCACTTTACTGCTTCTAGATTGTTTGGAGAGTTGACTGAATAGATCAGAATATTGATCCCAGGGGTAGCTGACTCTTAAGAATTCAATGTTTTCTTCTTGCCCTGTCTTTTCTATCTTTGAATCATTTAGCACAGCATGGCTGACAAGCCATTATGATACACTTCGTGGTCACCATGTTTTCTCATATAGATCACTATTAATGCCTTTGAGGTCCTTTGCATCGGCCAAGATACAGCTCCTTTCAATTACTCTGTTGCTCACTCTTTAAAATTGGAAACATTCTACTCTTGTAGGGCCTGGGGGCAGAAAGGAATTTGTATATATAAAATGCTACTCATCTAGACAGGATGTGGGTGATTTTATTAATTATGCTGTGCTTTGAGATCCTTGCTTTAAGAGTGTTTGTAAGAGAAGGAGGAAATTTTAGCACTTGTCTTTTTGTACAGAGATGGCCATGCCAGGGTGGCACGGAGATTGGGCATTGCAGCCACATTCCTTTCCTAACACTCAAAGTCTCTAATTCCAAAATTTCTTGTTCTTCTTTCACATATCACACAGAAGACAGGGAAGGTCTCTGCTCAGATAAATAAGTAAATGAGCTGATCTCTTATGTAGGGTTCTGGAGAGTTTATACGAGTGTTTATTTTGCTATATTCTGGGTTCTCTGAAAAAGGAATAGGCTTTGGAGTGAAATGGACTAAAAAACTAAACTCCACCTGGACAATTTAAGGCCTTAAAACCTTGGTTTTACCTGTAAAATACAGATAAATAAGCTTATCACACAGAAAGATAGGTGGAAATAAAGGGGTTAATGTAGAAACATGCTTAGTACTGTGCCTGGCATGCAGCAGGTGTTTGAAAGGTTAATTACCTTTTTCCATAGGGAAGTAGTTCCAAGTAACCTCAATGGCACCTCAGAATCATCTGGACAGGTTGGCAAAAATCCCATGCCCGTACTGCACTCCAGACCAATTAAATAAGTATCTATGGAAATGGGACCCAGGCATGAATTTTGTTTTTTGACAAGGTATAGCCACGGAGACTCAGATATCTCAGAAATAGCCACCATTGCCAGTCCAAGCCCAAAGCCATGCATTTCTGTGTTAAGAGCCGTGCCCTATGTCTTATTTCTCAGTTAGATGTGGAAAATGAAAAATGGGCACATGTCATGGCCTCTTGTTTGGCACGATTACATCTCAGCAGTTAATCAGTGCTTGGGTGCTTGGGTAGTACATTTTGTGGCGGGTGACCTGCTCCCCTGACAGCTGTCTGCTCCAAAGTGCCCATTCAACTTGAGATCAACCCAAGTGTCCCCTTCACCCCTCTCATGAGGCTGGATAAAATATGGATGAACCCATCCAGGCAGCTGACCTGTACACTGCCGTTCTACCCATTCAGATTTCTAGCTCTGCCAACTTGAGAGATGGGCTAGGTTAACGGAGGCCACAAATACTTTAACCTTCTCTCCAGTGCTGTTAAAACAAAAACAGCTGGGGCAGGGGAAGGAAAACAAATAAAACACAAAGCATCCCACTACAAAGCTTTGCAGTCCCCTAATAAAAACAATCGTCTGTGGCGTTTCCAAAAATATGTTTGGGACAAGTCAATCTCCAGAGGGCCAGAAGGCATCACAGACGGTGGAGACTCCCTGAATGACCCGTCAAAAGCTAAAGAAGGAAAATTTGTTGTCTGCTGAACCACTGGCATGCAAAAGAGAGAGAGAGAGAGAGAGAGAGAGAGAGAGGCATTTCCCTCTGAAACACTAGGAGGAAGAGGTGGATTTTACAAGCTTGTGAGCCAGCTCCAGTGCCACTCTCGATTTTCTGCAGATTTTGCAAGCTCCCTGGCTACCAGACAAGACATGAATATGCCCAGATGCCACATAGTGACTTATTTTGTTATTTCTCAGGCTTTAAAAATGCACATAAAGAAATGAATGCTGCTCTGCCTCTTTAAATTATTTAGCACACCACCGTGACAGTCACAATACAGTCAACGGACTGTCTATGGACAACCTCAAATATGCCCTTAGGCAGCATTGCTTGGAAAATGTTGTCCCTGTTTTTAGAGATGGGAGGAGTGTTTCCATAGAATATTTCTCACAATTTAAGAAGTTGACCTTTCTGAAAAATCAAACTGATGTTAAAGAATGCTTGAATGGCCTGAGAATGACTAATCTCCTTGTCTCTTGCCCCTTCTTTGTCTGTCCATTCACCCATGGCTTCTCCCCCCTGGCATGGGGGGTTGGTACTGGGGAGAGACCTTGGAGTCAAGTGTCAGTGTGACAGCAGGAACCCAGCAGTCTGTTATTTTAAGCTCTGGACACCAGACAGGACATTTTGTTTCCAACACACT